GATCTTACAAAGCACGCCTGAGAACTTGTCAATGAATCGAAAAACTAGGTATGTGCCAAACTGAATAAAGGGACCCCGAAAATGGTTGCCCTTTTCGTTTCCCTTCAAACCAAGGTGGACAAATGTAGCCTCAAAAGAACATACAGGAACAACTGTTTCAAGCTCCCCAAAGTGACATCTGCCAGGTTTCCTGCCCCTCCTGAGCGCCCGGGCATACTTCTGGCTCGCACCGCAACCCATGCACAAGCGCGGAGGTGTTGTCGTCAGCCCTACAACACAATGTGCCATGGCTAAACATCACTTTTACTTGGTATGGGATACTTAACCCCTTAAAGGGATCTTGGGCAACGACAAACCATATTGAAAACACCTTAAAGGGACTTTAGGCGACGACAAGCCATGTTGAAGACGGATCTTGTAGCATGTGCAAACAGGAGCTCCGGTGAATAAAGCGTTGGCCATCCTTTTCGCTGCTTGTCAGATCGCGTAGGGTGTGCGTTTTCATGCACGAAAATACCAATGGACATGTTCTCAATTTGTACGCCCTGGTTCACATCCACTCGCGTGGCGACGCTTCAGCTTGGGCAATGCGCGAGCGAAGATGCGACCGAGCTCAACCATGCTTCCAACCTATGAAGGTGCCAGGGCCTCCCAGTCGATATCCCAATGGAAACCCTGGATTTAGTGGGTCATCAAAAACAACTGGGTTGAGCAACGCCGCACTCTCCCGATTTTCCTCGAGGTGCGCGGCACGTGTCTCCCTGAATTTTGAAATGTCGAACCAGTGAGGCTTGTCCGACATAGCCTTCGTGCAACAACCAATGTGGAACCTGCAACACAAAGGATGAAATTCTTGAGAATGTGGGAGACGAGTTCACATGGGCCCGAGATCTACTCAGTCTTGCGAACAGAGGCTTGCAAGGCTCCCAAATAGGACATCCAAAACATCTGGGCGAGCGCGGAGCAGAGGTGCCAAATGGAGTGTAGCCAGAACCGAAGATCCAAGGCACTGCCGGGGCAGTTGCCGGTCATCTGCAGCCATCGTTCGTAGTCCCAGCAAAGTCTGCCAAAGAGGACAGCCCAGCGTTCAGCGGAACACACCGGGGCCGGACCCGCTGTTGCAGCACCTGAAACACAAAGCTCAGCTGGAAGATCTCATAGTTCTGGAAGGCCAGGTAGCAAAACCAGGCTCCAAACACCACCATGTGGAAGATCGTGAATATCTCAGTTCGATACGGCGGCATTGTAAGCCAATGCAGGTCATATGTGCACCACATGTACCTTCGATCACTAATGTATTGCTAAAAGTGAAAACTGTAAATGCGACATGTTCACAAATCCCTTTAAACGCCAAAAGTCTACAGGCTATAAGTCTGAGGATATGACATTCAGACGAGATACCCAAGCCCCATCAATGCCATTGGCAGCTCATCCAGCATCTGGCCAGCGTAGCTCTGGGTGGCGTGAAAAATCGCAGAGCCAAGGCCCACCACAATGGAAGGTCTCCGCGCCCACCAAATACTCCACACACCACCCGGGACGTAGAACGCCAGCGAAGAAAGGGTGTTCCAAAACTCGCCCACTAGGGGATTGCCGGCCTGTGGCTGCACATCGAGCTCGCGCCACTTCTGGAGCGAGGTTCCGCGCGCAAAGAAAGTGTCCATGGTATTCACTCCGAAAATCAAATCCATGATATCTGCAAACAGCCCGCTGTGTTTGAACCAAAAGCAAGGAACCTGCCATGCTTTGTATGAGACCAACACACATCTCTTGTGAGGCACATCAAAAACCTTCAGGAACCAGGCTATGCGTGTTGCGCATCTTGCCTTATGCCGTTACTGTCTGCGCTTTCCCACCATGTCGTTGCTGGCATTCTGCCATCCACAAATGCCCCTTGGCCCTTTGGCCATCTATGGGTCACCTGTAACAGAGTGAGCCCAGTGCGCGGGGAGGGGAGCCTTCATCACGCCTCCAACGCGCTTCCAACAGCGCTTGATAGCACAAAGCAAAGGCCCGCCTTGCAAAACCGTTTTTCCGTTGAGATGCGCGCCCGAGAAAATCCAGAACCACAGGTGGCCCGAAAGCATAACATGCAGAGAGCGCTGATTTCAAGCAATTCTGTAGTCAGTGCTGCAACACATGTTTGTTTGTTTTTGTGATTTTTTCTGCGCCGTCGAGACAAGACTCTCTGCGGCGCGGCGCTCCGGGCGGAGCTGGCGAACTTCCTGGAGAGTGAGGCCTTCGGCTCAAGCAGCTTGAGGTCTTGGCTGATTTTTGCGGTGCCCGCGCGGCCCTGTGCGGGGATCGGCGTGATCGCTGTGCACTCTTGTCTTTCAAGCCAGAAAACATGCCTTCGAGCCGTAGCTTCGAAACGTTTTTTGCACATGTTTTTCCGCGCCAGTTCTGCTTTCACGTTGCGACTAGTTCTCCGCCCAAATTGTCCATGCAAGTGTATCTGCTGTCAGCGCAACTTGTTTTTTTGCAAGTTTGTTTGTGCAAAGTCCCGGCGCAAGTGCGTTGTCGCATGTTGCTCTGAGCAGCCAAGTTGCTCTGGGCAGGACGCGCGAAGCCGCGTAGCAAGAGCGCGCAATTTGGACAGAAAACCGCACGCCGCCGGACGACTCCTTTCTTGCGCTAGAGACTACGCCGTCGGCGAAAAACGAAGCCCGGCGGCCCGAAACCACGATGGCCACGAAAAACAGCGACCCGCTTCAGAGACGGACGTGCGACCACTGGCCACAGGCGCCGCGGCGGGGCCCCGCCTCGCCCGCATCTCAGCCGCGGCCAAGACGCCTGAGCACGTGAGCACGGCCGAGCACGGCCGAGCACGGCTGAGCAGCTGAGCACGGCTAAGCACAGCTGAGAATATGAGCTGCGCACGGCTAAGCACGGCTGACAAAAAAAATCACGGCTGAGCAGCTGAGCACGCACGGCTAAGCACGGCTGACAAGATGAGCACGGCTGAGCAGCTGAGCACGGCTAAGCACGGCTGAGAAGATGCGGCTGAGCAGCTGAGCACGGCTGAGCACGGCTAAGCACGGCTGAGAAGACGAGCACAGCTAAACATCTGGGAACCGCTAAGCACGGCTGAGCTGAGCACGGCTGAGCACAGCTGAGCACGGCTAAGCACGGCTGGCACGGCTGAGCAGCTGAGCACGGCTGAGCACGGCGAAGCACGGCTGAGCAGCTGAGCACGGCTGAGCACGGCTAAGCACGGCTGAGATAAGATGAGCACGGCTGAGCAGCTGAGCACGGCTGAGCACGGCTAAGCACGGCTGAGAAGATGATCACGGCTGCGCAGCTGAGCACGGCTAAGCACGGCTAAGCACGGCTGACAAGATGAGCACGGCTGAGCAGCTGAGCACAGCTAAGCACGGCTGAGAAAATGAGCCCGGCTGAGCAGCTGGGCACGGCTGAGCACGGCTAAGCACGGCTGAGAAGATGAGCACAGCTAAACATCTGGGAACGGCTAAGCACGGCTGAGCTGAGCACGGCTGAGCACAGCTGAGCACGGCTGAGCAGCTGAGCACGGCTGAGCACGGCGAAGCACGGCTGAGCAGCTGAGCACGGCTGAGCACGGCTAAGCACGGCTGAGATAAGATGAGCGCGGCTGAGCAGCTGAGCGGCTGAGCACGGCTAAGCACGGCTGAGCAGCTGAGCACGGCTACGCACGGCTGAGAAGATGAGCACGGCTGAGCACGGCTACGCACGGCTGAGCACGGCTGAGCAGCTGCGCACGGTGCGCACGGCTAAGCACGGCTGAGAAGATGAGCACGGCTAAGCACGGCTGAGAAGATGAGCACGGCTAAGCACGGCTGAGCACGGCTGAGCACGGCTAAGCACGGCTGAGAAGATGAGCACGGCTGAGCAGCTGAGCACGGCTGAGCACGGCTAAGCACGGCTGAGCAGCTGAGCACGGCTGAGCACGCAAAAACGGCCGCGCACGCCGAATAAAATCGCTGCCCCACCGAGTCGCGCCGCCTCTCCATGGCACACAGCGTTTATTCCTGCCTGCTGGACCCAGCGCTCACAAAAAAACAAATCCGGAGAGCGAAGTTCAGCCTAACATCTTTGACAGTGACTGATCTGTTGATGCCACACGTGTGGTGGAGCTGATCTCTCACAAAGCCTAAAGCCTTGAACACCGAATGGCCCTGAGACAAAAGCTGACCCTGTCTCACTGTACCCCTAATTGGTGGCTTGAGTTGGCTTGGATTGGAACCCCTGGTTCTTGATGAAAGCAATTGGGAAGACCCTGCAGCTTCCGAAGCCAACACTTGGAGGGGAAGCTGACTTTATGCGTCAAAAACTCGGGTCCTGGAAACAAGTGAATTGAGCAAAGGTCTGCTGAGTCATGGCTGCTTACAGCAGCATCTGAGGAGTCCCGTCCAAGGTCAACATTGTTTACAATGAAAGTGTTAGATGCCCTTTCTGTAGTCGGAGTACACAATCAAGCTCGCAAAATCTGATTTATTGCCCAAACCTAGCAATCGACGAAGCAGCCAGGAAGTAGTTCCCAAAAGAACTCGGATGTGCCATTTTGACTCTTGACGGTAGGCGCTGATCGGCTGATAGGCAGCCACGAAGGGCCACAGGTCCCACTGGCTCAAAGTCAAATCCAACTCTCTGTTGAGACGCTGTAGATGCTGTGGACACTCCCCTCGGTGAGACAGGCTGGTGGAAGCCCCCTTCTCGCAAATCCCCAAACTGTCAGGCTTGAGGCATGGGTTGAAATCTGGCTGAGCCGCTGCGCCTGGATCTGTTTCGCCATGCCGCGGAAAGGCAACACACGATTCTGCGATCTGGCAAGGCCTGACCCGGCCAATCCCGCGCTGCTCAACGCTGCATCTGCGCAAGCCACCGAGCCACGAGCAACTGGCGACCCAATCTGCCACGACCGCGTTGGCACCAAGGCCACATGCGCGCCGCTCACAGCTCAGTCGATTTTCCCACATCTTCCCTCGCCTCAGAGCTGACCTTGCTGCTCTTGTCGCCGGGAGCTACGAGCTCAGAAAGAAAGTTGAGTCATCCTGGTCTTGCACAGCCAGCTGCAGGGACCAAGTCAGGACTGAACAAGTTCTTTGATCTGCCGACTTGTTGTCTGCCAAGCAAAGGCGCGCGATCGAAACTTTTGCTGAGGGCCTTGCGCACAAAAAGACCCATTTCTGCTGCCACTGCCCACCTTTCTCACAAGCACTGGTGTTGGCACAAAAGCTCTTGACGGCAAGCCTTGAAAAAGGGCCAACACCCGCTGCCACTGAGCACCTGTCTCGCAGGCAGTCAGGCTGGGACCTTGACATCACTGCCCCTCTGCGAATGACAAAAGGTCTATACCGTCAACTGTCAAGCTGAAAGGTTGCTTTGGATTTGTCCTTCCCTCGGTGATTGTCTTGCAAAAAGCGGGGTTTTAACCCAACCAATCAAAGGCCACTTAAGGCCACTTCCTCTTTTCTTTTCACGTGAGTGGTAGTGTCTTTTATTCCATTGGACGTGTGGGCCCCTTGCGTGAAACCTTCCGCAAAGCTTCCGCGGTGTGAAGGGTACCTTCCGCAAGCATGCTTCTATATATGTGCTGCCGCGGGCCTTCCGTGGGCAAGTCGTTTCTGAAAAGTGAAGAAGGTAGCTCCCACGAGGGAATTCGTGCACACGATCTGCGAGTATTTCTAGTATGAGCAAATGTAATTCTGGAAAGAGCAAATCAACCACGTCCGTTCCGCGAGCTTCCGCGGGAAAAGCACCTTCTGCAACCCTCCGCGAACCTTCGACGGTTGCAGTGCTGCGCTACCTTTTTTGTTGATATGCCCCGGTGTTGATCACTGCCTCTCTGCAAATGACCAAAGATCTACCATCAGTCAGCATCATGGAAGCGGGCGCGCCCTATTGGCAGCCAGGCGCAAAAGCTTGTGCTGCCTTAGCCCGCTGGCTAAAGCTTGTACTGCTGTAGCCCGCTGGCTTAAGCTGTTCGATTGCAAATGCCAAACGAGTCGTTCAATATGGTTGGCAGAGATGAGGCAGCTTTGACGCTGACTCACATGGTTTAGGCATGATCCAGCGTTGACAAACAAGTCCGCACTATCCGATGTTCTGCTCTTGTGACTTTGCCTGAAATGTGGACTGTCAAGCTGAAAGGTTGCTTTCCCACACCGGTGATTGTCTTACAAGAAGCGGGGTTGTACCCAACTAATCAAAGGACACTTCCTCGTTTCACGTTTCTTCCGGGAAACGTCGCGCATTACAGGTCAAGCTGCGACCTTGACATCACTGCCTCTCTGCAAATGGCCAAAGACCTGCCATTCGTCAGCATCATGGGAGCGGTCAAAGCCTATGGGCAGCTAGGCGCGAAAGCTTGTACTGCTGTAGCCTGGTCTTAAGCTGTGCGAGACAAGCAAAGCGATTGCAAATGATCGAGCGTTAAGAAACAAGTCTGCACTGTCCGATCTTCTGCCCCGCAGCGAGCAGTTTTACCTTTGACCTTGTGGCTTTGCCTGAAGTGTCGACTGCCAAGCTGAAAGGTTGCTTTGGTTTTGCCGCTTCCCGGACCGGTGATTGTCTTACAAGAAGCGGGGTTGTAACCCAACCAATCAAAGGCCACTTGCTTTTTTCATGTGAGTGGTGGTGGTTTTTACTCCCTTTAAACTTGATTGGACGTATGGGCCCCTTGCGCAAAACCTTCCTCAAAGCTTCCGCAGTGTAAAGCGTACCTTCCGCAAGCATGTTTCTATATAAGTGCTGCCGCGGGCCTTCTGTGGGCAAGTTGTTTCTGGAAATCGAACAAGGTAGCTTCAGCGAGGGAATTCGTGCACACGATCTGCGAGTATTTCTAGTATGAGCAAATGTAATTCTGGAAAGAGCAAATCAACCACGTCCCTTCCGCGAGCTTCCGCGGGAAAAGCACCTTCCGCAACCTTCCGCAAACCTTCCGCGGTTGCAGTGTGGCGCTACCTTTTTTGTTGATATGCCCACCTCTAGACACGCTTGCTTGAGCGGCAAAAACACCGCCACTCACGTCTCTTCCGGGAAACGTTGCACATTGCAGGTCAAGCTGGGGCCTTGACATCACTGCCTCTCTGCAAATGGCCAAAGACCTGCTATTGGTCAGCATCATGAGAGCGGTCACACCCTGTTGGCAGCCGCAAAAGCTTGTACTGCTTTAGCCCGCTGGCTTCAGCTGTTCGCTTGTAAATGCCACTCGAGCCGATCCTATGGTTGGCAGTTTTGACGCGGACTCACATGGTTTAAGCGTGATCCAGCGTTGACAAACAAGTCTGCACTATCCGATCTTCTGCCCCGCAGCGAGCAGTTTTGACTTTGACCTTGTGGCTTTGCCTGAAATGTCGATTGTCAAGCTGAAAGGTTGCTTTGGTTTTGTCCCTTCCCACACCGGTGATTGTCTTACAAGAAGCGGTTGTAACCCAACTAATCAAAGGCCACTTCCTCTTTTCACGTCTCTTCCGGGAAACGTCGCACATTGCAGGTCAAGCTGGGACCTGAACATCACTGCCTCTCTGCAAATGGCCAAAGACTTGCCATTGGTCAGCATTATGGGAGCGGTCAAAGCCTATGGGCAGCTAGGCGCGAAAGCTTGTACTGCTTTAGCCCGCTGGTCTTAAGCGCGGGACAAGCAAAGCGATTGCAAATGATCCAGCGTTAAGAAACGAGTCTGCGCTATCCGATCTTCTACCCCGCAGCCAGCTGAAAGGTTGCTTTGGTTGTGTCCCTTCCCTGATCGGTGACTGTCTTGCAAGAAGCGGGGTTGTAATCCAACTAATCAAAGGCCACTCAAGTCGATGACGAACATGAATCTCCTGTATCTGGGCGGTAAAGGCCTGGCTCTTCTGGATTTCACGTACCTTGGACGCTTCTGGACGAGTTACGAGGTGGTTCTTCTTCTGCGCAAAATTCAGAACGGCCGCATCGTGCCCTTCGCCAACCACGCCGAGGTTGACAAGCGCGCCACGCTTATTGAATACGGGGCTGCTGAAGGTTCGAACGGGCTTGTGACCAAGGCCTTCAGAGAAACTTGGGGCAGCCTTTCCATCCCTGACGCAGTCACTAAGCTCGCCAAGGATGACGTGACGGTGACGACTGCAACGACAAGACCACGCTGCTACCGCTACTCGTGTCGCTCGACGACCGCATTTTCGGCATATGGGCTACTCGCAGCAGCGGCCCTGCGCTTCGCCAGGAGGCGGCAGCGGTTAGTGACAGCCGTTGAGAATTCAAATAGGGCCCTGAAGGCTGTGGTCGAACAAGACCTGTGCTAGCCAAGGATTTCAATATGTTTGGTGGTAGCCCTGCGATTGGGACCGCAGCCAAACATATGACTCGGAGTTCGGAACATGGCATGCTTATCCGCCTGTCCATGCCTGTCCGCAACTGCAAGCGCTCACAAAGCAGGGGACATCGGCCATTCTGCAAAAGCCTCAGCCCCAGCCGCTCTGAAAGTCCAACACGCGGCTTTGCCAAGCGCTGGTGAGGCCGAAACATCGCGCGAGACGCCGCGCAGTTTGAGTTGTTTGCCCTTTTCGCTTCTTCCCGACAACGAACCCTTACAACTCGGGGGTGTGGCCTCCTCTCCTTCCCATCGGAGCTGGTGGGTGGAGTGGTTTTCCGCGCTGTCGTGGTCGGAGGCAAAAATGACCGACGTGCTGAGGTTCGTGCGCAATGACGATATTGGCCTCACGTCTCTTCCGGGAAGCGTCGCACATTGCAGGTCAAGCTGGGACCTTGACATCACTGCCACTCTGCAAATGGCCAAGGAGCTGCCATTGGTCAACATCATGGGACTGGGCAGTCCCCGCAAACCAGGTGATTCATGAAGGAACAACCATGGTGGAAGGGCCCTGCGGTCAACTTGCCAGCTGCCGTGGCTGGAAAGAAACTGCACGAATTAAGAGGAAACATGGTGGGTTCCCATAGGAGCCAGTGGAAAATCCAGTCTGGCGCCACCTGAACGATCCAGGAAGATTCCGCAAGAAAGGCCTCGGCTTTGAACCAGAAGGCCACCAGGAGAGGGTCTTGGAAGGTCCCAGCTCACAAACTCATTGTGAGTAGTGGTGTTTATTCCCTTTAACTTTGAATGGAAGTATAAGTCCCTTCCACGAAACCTTCCGCAAACCTTCCGCAGTGTAAAGGGTACCTTCCGTGAGAATGTTTCTATATAAGTGTTTCCGCGGGCCTTCCGCGGCCCGCAATTTGCTTCTGCAAATTGAGGAAGGTAGCGCACGATGTGCTAGTAATTCTGGACAAAGCAAATTGAATGCTGGAAAGAGCAAATCAACCACGTCCCTTCCGCGAGCTTCCACGAAAAAAACACCTTCCGCAAACCTTCCGCGAACCTTCCGCAGTTGCAGTGTGGCGCTACCTTTTTTGTTGATATGTCCACCTCTAGACATGTTTGCTTGAGCGGGAAAAAACAACGCCACTCAGGTGGAATGCTTCACCTGGCCAGCTTGCCGGACTGCGTTGCAGCCTCTTGGGCTTCCCATGCGTTTGGAATCACAAAGCCAAGTTGCAGTAAGTGTTTACACGCGTGGCTCCGAGCACGATCCCCGGCTATATGTGTTACATTGTCCCGCAGGAAATAGGATTGTTGTGGGTCGGCTGCTGCTTTTTATTTGCTTTGATTCTTGAACAGACTTGGACCGGCATCGCGCAAAGCCAAAGAGCGAAAGGCAAAGCGACAGTTCTAGCTGTTTTGGCGGGTACCCTCTTGGTGGTCCTCCATTCTGGTTCATGAAATTTGCTCTAAGCACTGTCGCAGTTGGCGGCTACAAATCTTCGATTGATTGGATTACGCCGCCGTCAAGCTTGACAGGCGACAGGGGCATCACGAAATCAAATTGTCAACAGCCTTACCCCCAAACAAATGAGCAGTATGGCGGAAAACGGGAGATGGCACCGAGCTGACGGCCGTCAACTCCAGCATGGGTGAGCTCCTGCCTGCCTGATATCAGGGTCGACGCGGCATGGGCTGGGGCCTTACAAGGCACCCACAACGCCGCAGCCAGCCTTGGTTCGCCGACACGGTGATCGCTGCTCACCACATGCTCAGTTCACAGCTGTACCGACTCTGGCACGCAACTTGCGCGACCCAGCGCAGACAAAAAGTCGTCAAAATCCGACCTTCTGCGCTGAACATGCCGTGGGCTGAATCACACACCTTGCACAAAGAACGCCTTGCCCCTCAGCGAGGAGGTTGACTTTGGGCTTTTGGCAGGCCCGATATTTCAGACCTCCCACAGTGCAAGAGGGCCCAAGAACGCTGGAGTTCTGAAATGCAAAGCCTCCCAAAAAGACCAGTTGCAAGGAAGGCGTCGGCTGAAAGATTGAAACACAATTCAACGCGTACCATGCGTGACGGCCTGCGCGAGCTGCGCGTCGGCCGAAAAATTCAACGCCAGCCTGCATCGTTGTGGCGTTTTGGATTCAAAGTGCCTACGGAAGGCCTCTCTTGGCGGACAGGTGCTCAGCCAAAATAACAAATGTTGAATAACAAGGCGCAGTTTGACTGAATTGATTTGAGCAAATGCGACATCGCAGCGCTTTGGAGGCGGTCAGTCCCCATGTAAGACAGCGATTACTCTCTCATGTCGCCTATTTGGAAGGGAAACACGACTATGCCACACCAAGCCCTGCGCGACCCAGGGCCAAGTTGAAGGCCCAACCGAATCACACACCTTGCGCAGAGAATGCCTTGGCGCGTAAGCTTGTACTGTTTTAGCCCGCTGGTCTTAAGCTGTGCGGGAGAAGCAAAGTGATTGCAAAGGCCGCGCACAGGAGGAACTCGGAGGAAGATGAGCATGTAGTGGGCTATCCATCAAAATATAATTCCTGTGTTGTATTGAGGTGATCTGGTCTGCAAGCGTAGAACTCCATGTGTTGTTGATCAGAGCTGTTGGAATCGGGTTCAATGAAAAATTGTGGTTTCTTCACATCCGATGGAAGGGTCGTTCCAAATGGTTGGTAGAAATGAGGCGGCTTTGACGCTCACATGGTGACAAACAAGTCTGCACTATCCGATCTTCTGCCCCGCAGCGAGCAGTTTTGACTTTGATCTTATGGCTTTGCCTGAAATGTCGACTGTCAAGCTGAAAGGTTGCTTTGGTTTTGTCCCTTCCCACACCGGTGATTGTCTTACAAGAAGCAGGGTTGTAACGCAACTAATCAAAAGCCACAAACGCTCTGCGCTATTCGATCTTCTGCTGGCTTTGCCTGAAATGACGACTGTCAAGCTGAAAGGTTGCTTTGGTTGTGTCCCTTCCCGGATCGCTGATTGTCTTACAAGAAGCGGGGTTGTACCCAACTAGTCAAAGGCCACTTCCTCTTTTCACGTCTCTTCCGGGAAACGTTGCACATTGCAGGTCAAGCTGGGACCTTGACATCACTGCCTCTCTGCAAATGGAAAGACCAGCCAGGCGCAAAAGCTTGTGACAAGCAAAGCGATTCCAAATGATCGAGCGTTAAGAAACAAGTCTGCACTGTCCGATCTTCTGCCCCGCAGCAAGCAGTTTTGACTTTGACCTTGTGGCTTTGCCTGAAATGTCGACTGTCAAGCTGAAAAGTTGCATTGGTTCTGTCCCTTCCCGGATCGGCGCTTTGGCTGCCAGGCGCAAAATATTGTACTGCTTTAGCCCGCTGGCTAAAGCTTGTACTGTTTTAGCCTGTTCGATTGTAAATGCCACTCGAGTCGATCCTATGGTTGGCAGAGATGAGGAAGCTTTGACGCGGACTCACATGGTTTAGGCATGATCCAGCGTTGACGAACAAGTCTGCACTATCCGATCTTCTGCCCGGCAGCGAGCAGTCCTGCGTGGCTCCAAGCACGGCCCCCGCCTATATTTGTTACATCTTCACGCAGGAAATAGGATTGTTGTGGGTCGGCTGCTGCTTGTTATTTGCTTTGGTTCTTGATCAGACTTGGACCGGCATCGCGCAAAGCCAAAGACGAAGGGCAAAGTGACAGTTGGCGCAAAATGAGCTCCTGCTTCTCGGCCTGTTTTTTTGTGCGTGGTGTGTTTGCTCATTGGTTCAAGCTTTTGGGGCCCGAAGTCTGACACGCATCCTTGCGAGCGTAATCACTGCCTGACTCGCCCCCTCTACCCACCACTCATTGATTTGTGAAGGAGCCCTGAGAACAACCCCCCACCCCACCCCACACCTATTCCCTGAAGCCTATTCATCTTACTCCAGCCCCGCCCCACCCTGGGTACCTTCTTGGTGGCCCTCCATTCTGGATCATGAAATTTGCTCTAAGCACTGTCGCAGTTGGCGGCTACAAATCTTCGATTGATTGGATTACGTCGCCGTCAAGCTTGACAGGCGACTGGGGCATCACGCAATCAGACTGTCAACGGCCTTACCCCGCAAACAAAATGCACAGTATCTGGGAAAGCAGCAGACGGGGCCAAGCTGACGGCCGTCAAATCCAGCATGGGTGAGCTCCTGGCCTGATATCAGGGTCAAAGCGCCATGGGCTGGGGCCTTACAAGGCACCCACAACGCCGCAGCCAGCCTTGGTTCGCCGACACGGTGATCGCTGCTCACCACATGCTCAGTTCACAGCTGTTCCGACTCTGGCACGCAACTTGCGCGACCCAGCGCAGACAAAAAGTCGTCACAATCCGACCTTGTGTGCTGAGCACGCCGTGGGCACCTTGCACAAAGAACGCCTTGCCCCTCAGCGAGGAGGTTGACTTTGGGCTTTTGGCAGGCCCGATATTTCAGACCTCGGAGGCTTCCACAGTGCAAGAGGGCCCAAGAAGGCCGGAGTTCTGACATGCAAAGCCTCCTAAAAAAAACCCGTTGCAAGGAAGGATAATTCAACGTGTACCATGCGTGACGGCCTGCGCGAGCTGCGTGTCGGCACAACAAATCAATGCCAGCCTGGGTGTGGGGAGACAAGAAGGCACACCTGCTCACGAGAAGTCATCTCTGCAGGTCCATAATGCGACAAAGCGCGGGTCAGACTGTCAGACTGGGCGCATCACTGCGCAGACTGCTCTCCAACGCTAAAGTTGAAGCATTCTGCGCCACGTTGTGATTGCAAATGATCCAGCGTTAAGAAATGAGTCTGCGCTATCCGATCTTCTGCCCCGCAGCAAGCTGAAATGTTGCTTTGGTTTTGTCCCTTCCCGGATCGCTGATTGTCTTACAAGAAGCCGGGTTGTAACCCAACTAATCAAAGGCCACTTCCTCTTTTCACGTCTCTTCCGCACATTGCACGTCAAGCTGGGACCATTGCCTCACTGCAAACCATTGGTCACACCCTATTGGCAGCCAGGCGCAAAATATTGTACTGCTTTAGCCTGCTGGCTAAAGCTTGTACTGCTTTCGCCCGCTGGCTTAAGCTGTTCGATTGTAAATGCCACTCAAGTCGATCCTATGGTTGGCAGAGATGAGGAAGCTTTGACGCGGACTCAAATGGTTTAGGCATGATCCAGCGTTGACGAACAAGTCTGCACTATCCGATCTTCTGCCCCGCAGCGAGCAGTCCTGCGTGGCTCCAAGCACGGTCCCCGGCTATATTTGTTACTTCGTCACGCAGGAAATATTTTGGTTCTTGAACAGACTTGGACAAAATCCAGCATGGGTGAGCTCTTGCCTACCTGATATCAGGGTCAATGGCAGCCTGGGTGTGGGGAGACAGGAAGGCACACCTGCTCACGATAAGTCATCTCTGCGTGTCCATAATGCGACAAAGCGCGAGTTGCCGCTTTGGCCAGACTGGGCGCATCACTGCGCAGCCTGCTCTCCAACGCTAAGGTTAAAGCACGAGGACTG